AGTTAGCTTATCTGGTACATTTTCTTTATGTATGGATGTAAATCTATATGCACACGTGTTGGCATCAAGACGAAGGTTAGACTTTGAACTGATAAAAAAAGCTTAGACTTYGCTACTGTGAAATTTAACTAATAATGGGACTTTTTTGTTTGCCTATAATATGCATATGATAGGACAGAAATGGAAAAGGATCAGTGAGGTTTCACTGTTAATAAATAAACTCAGATTGGAAATTCCATCCTTCATTCCCTCTGACATTATTATTTTGTYAATTATTTGACACTTTTTGACTTGTGCAAGGGTACCCCAGCTGGCTCAGTTGGTAAATTTTGGTTGAGTTGAACACCAGTCTGAAGTCAAACCCAACCATTATTACCAACTACTAACCAATAAATTTCCTTCCCAAGAAAAGGAAAACATTATGGTATTGGGCCTAGGCCTGACACAAATTTCCAGGCCGAGCTGGGCTAGAAATGATGACCTTTTCATACTCCAATGTCAACCAAGAGATTGACATAATTAAACAAATTCTGACCACGCTAAGTCAACCAAATAGGTAACTAATAGGAACATTCAAATAAGGAATCCAATCTCTAAAATAACTCTAATTACACTTTGTGAACCTAGTACAACTAACTTATTTTAAAGGCACAGGGAATTACTAAAAATAGCAAATTACGATTTTACYCTAAATAATGATTATAGGAATTACCATAAATGGCATGTCCAAAAAGTTTCCATAAATAGTAATTTTTAAATTTTTGTCGAAGGATAATAAATTTCTAGAAAGTTGACTTAAAATACCAAAATTTGAATGACCAAAAATTATGAAATTGCCATTGGTTCAAGAATATGAAGAATCTTGGTTTGTTTTTCTCCAAGGATTATTTCCCATGGTTTTCGAACTTCTGTTGACCCAGACAGCCGGACCGTTTGGCRCGGGAACCGACCAGGCAACTGGTTCCATTTTACTCCAAACCCAGTCCCTGGCCAAAAACCATTGAATCGGTCAACAACCCATTAACCCGGGCGGTCGAACCGTCAACCCGTTAACGGTTTTGGCCATTTTTTATTTTAATTATTTTTTAATTTTTAAAAATTTTTGTCGAGTGAGCCATCTGTTCGGACTGGATGGTTGAACCATCGATCCAGAAACCGGTGGCCAGAATGGTTCCGGTTCCGAGTCGTTTTTTAAAACATTGTTATTACCCTGCTTTTGAGTCTGCATCACTAACTAACCTTCAATAAATGAAATTTAATTCCACTGTGTTGAGGTCATTGTGTTCCAATCYTTGAGAAGTTGATATTAACTACATTCATGGAAAAACAAGTTACTCATTTCTTGACCAACGAGCACAAATCTGGATCTCAAATATAACTAGGAATTGTAGATAGAAATTCAAACCACAAGCACCATTTAAAACTCCAATTAGGCTTTCCAGTACTTGGATATCTAAATTTTCTGATGATACAGATACCGCCAACAAGAGCAAAATCTCCAAAGCTTGGTCGGAGAAAGAACTTGACTGTGGAGAACTCCGAAGGAAATGATAGCAGCAGCTCTCGATCAGGCAGGCTGAGTCTTGATGAGAAAAGCTCCCAAGATGGCCTTGCCAAGGGAACATCAGTAGAAACCAAGAAGCCCCTCAGAAAGTCTCTTCCTAAACTGCCCTCTCAAAAGTCCACTTTAGCCAGTGCAACAGATGGTGACACAGCTCCTACAGAAGAATCAGAGGATCATAACCTAGAAAAGGTGGCTGCTCCAGCTGCTGTTCCATGCCAAACTGAGTCCAACCAAAATGGTGGGTCTGTTGCTGAAGAACATGTAGAACCCTTGGAGCAGGAGACGGAACCCATTGCAGCAGAGAATTATGTGGAGCAGCAGTGAAAGTGATTAAATCCGTGCTTACTCTCTGGAATATCGAAACCATTTTCTCCCAAGGAAGGTAAGGATAAGACTGGAATTCGTTAAAGACGAAAGCATGGAGAATTTTGTATTATGGTTATATTGTGCTCTTGTTCATAGTCAGCGTAAAGGTTGCGTGGTTCTTCGTGTGCTTGCTTTTGTGATTGCTGGTCCAGTCAAATAGGACTTGCGCTCTGCTCGCAGTTACAGCACTGTATTATTATTTATGGGGGGTTCCATAGTCCTTACCCACTTCTCAATTTTCATTGTTGTATCATTTTTTGGTTGCCACTTGCCAAGTACTATAGTCTGGTCTATATTGAGATCAAACTCTGTCACAACTGTTACTGAATTATATTCCATTGCATAAAGGAGAGTTTCATTTTTTAGGTGGGGGTGGGGGAACAGCTTTTTGGTATGATGGTTGTGATTCAATAGTTACAGAAARTTGCTGATCGCAATTCTGGAGTTTAATGGAGGAAAGGAAACACAATCAGAATGGCTTGATTTTGGATTATAGTGAGAAATAACCCGCAGAGTTCTAATGGTTTTGGTTAAGCACGAAGMAAGTTAATTAAAATGAATCCACTACCAACTAGGCAAAGATTGGTTTGCATCTGTTGGACAAGCATTAGTTGCCTTCAGTAAAATTCTTGGAATTGATAATAACTTGGATGGTGTTCGGTTCTTATCTGAAAAATGGCACCARTTCAGTGTCACATAGGCATCTCTCCTGAAAATGTTTGGTTAAATTGTTCATTAAATAAATAATTTTCTCGGTTTGTGTAAGAATCATCTGTTAGGATAAGATTCTTTTTTTAATGTTTTTTCCAACACYCAAAAGAGTTTTTTCACCATTGCGTCTAATGGTACTTAACTGTCATAAAACGTTTCTCAGTGGGTTTTATTTTTATTTTTTATTTTTCAAGATTTAGAAAGTACAAAATGTTTATTAATTAAATGGCAACGGAACCAACCAGACCTTGGTTGTGATCACATGACTTCTAACCATGTAACTTGTTTTCCTCAACGTCCAAAAACTAGGATAAAATGCTCACAATTGGGGTCATGTTATGTTGATTTCTGGCTTAACCAATCTCCATTTGTGTTATGTTGGTGAGTCCAAAATTGAAATACTTTGTAAGTGGGTTGTTTTGGGTTTACATAAGCGATATTTGATGAAAAATCTGTTAAGCCCAAATTTTCTGTCTTTCAACCAAAAAAGAGGTTCAAATATTTTCTGCAACCCGATAACATGGCCTTGTTAGATCAAGTTTGTGAGTCCGGATCACCTGCCAACAAAACAAATTCCAACCTTCTACCAACATAATCTTACACTGCACATTATATATATGGCATGTCCCACTTTTATGCTAGTTTTCAGTCTCATGGTGAGATGTGCTTTGTTGGCAGAAAATCCTAATTCCCAAGTTGCAATTAGAGGTATAAATCGGGCTGTCCACAGCTCAGCATGGCCCGGTCTGACTTTGGATTGGCCCAGCACGATAGAGCACGGTGGGGTCACACGATCTTGGGCCATGGACCGTGCTGGGCCAACCCCCCAAATTATCCCAGGGGAGGGTGGTACGGCCCGTACTTTGTGTAAGCCCGGCATGGCCCATTTTACACCTCTAGTTGTAGCCTTATGCTATGAATAGAAAACAAGTATGCTGATATTGGGTGGGC